TACCCATGAACCTCCAAGTACATGGATTCACGGGGGCTTGAAGGTGCAAGATACCATCTCCGAGGTGTAGCACATAGACCCTAGCTTAGTATAAAACTTAAATCGCACGCCCCAAACCCGAATCCCTAATACCAAATCCCGAAATCCCGCAAACACTCGGAACGTCTTCTACCAATTGCAGAAGCTCCTGAATGAGCAGATTGTATATTAATATTAGAAGTTATAATAATGTGTTGGACTTGGTCCTGCTAAAAAGTCCGAAATCCGTACAGAACCAGCTAACAACCCAACAAGCCCGTCTGATTAAGGGGATTCTTGATTCGAGCGTTGTAGCCTTCTACACTCGTTGGGGAAACCTCCAGCCCTGCGGTTGTCTGGCCTAGTGGTGCTTTTGAGCTAGGTTCGAGGCGAAGACAAATTTCAAAACTTGAGCCCGTAGGCTTTTGCGTCTCAAAATCATGGGGGCTCCTCCTTTTTTGCAGGCTCTGCGGAGTTTAAGGTTCCTGTCCAGGTTCCCATAGGGCCGGCTCTTATTGGGGGGGGTTGATCCTGTGAGCTTCGGGCTTACCGGCACAGGCTGTGCTCAAGCCCCGCGCTGCGAACAAAGGCCGGCCACTTCTCAATTCCTGCCGCCGCGGGAATTCTCAACCCTAANNCCCTAAACCCCTAAACCTAAATCCCAAGCACAGTTCATGTTTCAGGGTTGGAACCAGGAGGCTCTATGTCCGCTGCCTCAAGCTACCATAACACACGTTTTTGTAGGTGTTCTTATTCGGAACCCTAATATCGAATTTGCAGGGTACCTACATAAACGTAGGTGGTTTGGACAGGTTAGGTTACCGGTCCAGGGTGGGAACCCCGAACTCTCGTCGGGTTCAGGGTTCGTGGTGTGGGGGACCTGAAAGCCTCGTGATGTGCCCCAAACCCTCTTGGGGTCAGTTTAGGACCCTCTTGGGGTTAAGTTGAAACAGGGTTGAAAGCATACAATACCATGTGGATTTGTAACACTTTCGCCGGGTTTCCTCAAAACTAGATCGTAGGACTGTTCATGAGCAGGCATGCAGGCACGTGTGCGCCCCCGTCCCCTACCTGCCTCACACTGCACAATGTACGTTCTTAACTAACCGCTTTTTTACTTGTAGTTTTTGGAGAAGCTCCCGCTCTTGTACAACCTGCAAAAGCCCAGTAGCAAGCACCTTGGCCGCATAATGCCCCGCAGTAGGTGTACTATAGTTAAGAATGTGGCTCCACACTAAGTCTCTCTTAGGGCCTTTCTTCTGGTAAGCCATTACTGCATTAAGCCCTTTAAAGTTTAAAGCCGAAGCTCTACAAACCCAAACCCGAAACCCCGTATCCTCAAACCTCTACCCCAAAAACCCTTAAACCCCCCACAAACCGCTAAACCCCACAGCAAAAACAGAAAAACAAAACACACGAGATGCTCCCCCATCGGGATGTCGGGTCCTCCAGCATCTCGGTCCTAGCATCAAGCTCATTCTCTTCAAGCCCATCTGGGAGTTTCCGAAAATAAGGGGTACCTTATATTGGTGTCCTTACAAGGATCCTAGTATTTAGGGTACTAAATTAGGGTCCCCTATTTTCGTAAACCTCCATCTCTCACAAACAGCTTATGTTGAATGTGGGTGCAATATAGGCATAGCGGCCTTAATTATTAGAATAGGGCTTTGGGCTATATTTTTATACTACAATCAAATGAGGACCCCCCCCCAGAAATAGTATAGGCAATTGTTAAAGCCCTTTTTGAGGGTTTGGGGTTTGGGGGTGTAGGGTTCTCATTTGGCTCGGGGAGGTTTGTTTCTAGAACCCTCTGTCATCTATTTGCCGTGCGAACATCCTGTCCCCAAAACGGCCTTTGAATCGCTATTAGCAAACAGTCCGAGTGCGCGCTGGCACTATTGCCTACCGATTTTTTCCTATGTCTGCTCTGCACGTGGAGCTATTGGTACAGAGAAGCACAGAACATATCTCAGTTGTGTATACCAAGTAGGGACATCCACCCTGGAACAAACTCCCTAGACCCCAAGTTGAAGAGCATACCTTAACCCATGGGTAGGTTTCCTACTAATGTGAAAGTTAGGGGATATTCTCGCAAGGAGTTTTTAATTTTTGCAGTCAATGGGACCCCTAAACCCTAAACCCTACTTTCCTAAACCCTGATTCCCCAAATCCCTAAACCCCATTTCCCAAAACCCCTAAACCCTAATTCTTTAAATCCCTGATTCCCCAAATCCCTAATTCCCCAAATCCCCAAAACCCCCTAAGCCCTAAACCCTAAGCCCCAGGGTTTAGGGTCTCAACCATGCCCCTGAAGGTTAAGCCATAATATAGGGGCCGTCCCTAACCCCTAATTCACCAAACCCCGAAGCAACCCTAAACCCTAAACCCTAAGCCCTAAACCCTCATTCCCCAAACCCTAAACCCAAATTCCCTAAACCCTAAACCCTTTTTCCCGAAACCCCTAATTCACCAAACCCCGAGGCTCTCCTCGTGCTCTTGCCATTGACCATCACCACGAAGTCGCCGGGGTGCAGCTTATGACCCGGGAGTAGGCCTTGCAGACAAGTGCATTATGTTAGAAAGTAGGTGGTGGGTTAGGGCTTTTAGGCTGACGGTTTAGGGTTCAGGGTTTTAGGTTTAGGGTTTAGGGTTTAGGGTTTAAGGAGAAAAAGTGCATTATTATGCACAGGTTTCACCATGGGTAGCTCTCTAAGTTAGGGTCCCCGTTTAGGGCTCCTTAAAGGGATCTATAAGGGTACTACAAGGGGTTCCTTAAAGGGTTCTATGAGGGTACCAAAAGAGTGCTAGATGGGTAGTTCTCTAAATTGGGGTCCCTTTTAGGATCCTTTTTTATAAGGGTGTCGCACTATATTTGGGATCTAAAAAGGGGCCCTAATTGAGAGAACTACCCATATCATAACATACTATAGAGTACAATAATATAACATGCCATAGTCTACGTAGTACGGTATATGATGGCATGCTAGAGTACAGTATGGGAAAGCATAGAGGCCCGAAGGCACATATGGAGGTATCAGGGAAGCGGCTCGCAACAGCTCTTTTCTCGTTCAGCTGCATTGCTCGGCCTTGAGCCAAGTTGACCCGTCGGCGGTCACTCCTGCTTCGGCTACCGCTCTTGCTTCGGCTACACTTCTGGTCAATTGAGTTTACCAACACCAACAGCTTGATATTCACAGTCCCCCCAAATTAAAGTTGACCAGAAGCTGAAACCTTGCTCCTCGTATTCCTTGAAAGACGAGCTACCGAAGCCGCATGGCTTCTAGACCTAAAGTTCGGGTCTTCGGCCCGATGCTTTAGCTCGCACTCCACGTCCACCAGGCTCAGCCGACCACTTCTCAGGAACTGGTCCAAGGCCCCGTTGGCTTTCATAGGGTCCGACTTCGTCAGCGCATCAGCCACCATCTTCTGGTGGGGAACCCACCTCACCATAGAACGGGTCTCCTGTAGATCCCGAACTATGATAGCGAGTTCCAAGGAGCTTCTGCGATCTTGTCTCCCCTGAGGATGCTCCTTCAGCATGCAGTCGTATAGACTTTTGGCATCTGTAACTGAGCACTGGGGCTGCCGATGTGGTGCTTTGTAATCTCCCTTCATCACCAGCATGTGCGGACTCAAGCAATTCCTCCATTCGTTGAGCTCGATGTCGTGGTAGACAGCGTCGCGGATCATCACCTGCAGCCAGTCCGCTTCAGCAATGCCTTGCAGCATTGCTTGTGTTTCCCCGCCGAAGGTGGAGAAGACCTTCCTCTTCAGTTTACTGCTCCGCCAAGAAAGTGGCGTTGCCCTGACTTTGGCGTCTCCGATCGGCAGTGTCTCTGCTGTGAACACTAGCCATGCCCCTTGCGTGCTGTCGGCCGGCAGCCCGATCTCATCTTCGGTATCGTGCTTGGCTCCAATCCCTCCGGCGTCCGAGATCACCACGAACGACATTTCCCGAGGAGACATCTTCCAGATGGTGATGGGGCGAGATGCAGTGTTTCTCAGGTAGTTCACGTTCTTATTGAGGGTGAGCACGTCCTCGATGGTAGCGTTCTTCAACTTGCTGGCTAGTATGGATGCCATCCCTGCTACCTCCGGTCGGCTCTCCTTGGCGACCCAATTGATCTTGTAGATTGCCGACCTGAACGCGGCGAACTCCTCGTCGGTTAGGGGTGACTCCTTCTCTGAGCGCCGTCCCTTGTTGAGCATAACCGGCTGTACCTGCTCAGTGATGTACTTCTGCTGGTCCACCAAGATACGGTCGCTCAGCACTCGGATCTGCCGACCGGCGTACTCTGCCTCGTCGTCCTCCCATTTGCCGAAGGTGAAGCGCTGCTCGAAGGTCTTTCGGATCTCGGCCTTGACTTTGTCCATCGCGCTGATGATGAAGTCGTCGACCTCGATGAGCACTTGGGCCTCGTTCTTGCCATCCTCATTGAACCTCATCCACCAGCAAGGCTCGATGACGTTCCTTTGGAATCCTTGCTCTCGTAGAAATCCTGTCACCGTTGCCCGCCATGCCGCTGGAGCGTCATCCAATCCGTAGACCGGAACCTCGATGACAATGACGTCCAACGATCCCAGCCCTAGTCCCTCGCAAGGTCTGGCGAAGATGGGTCCGGCTGGTCGCCTGAGCTTGTTGGACTGGCAAAACGCGTTGCGAACATCCGAGAAGGAGAAACGATGACCCAGGTTGATCCCTGTCTGCAGGAAGGCGAGGATGCTCTCCGTAGCTGGCGTTGGCCTGAAAGTTTGTAGGGAGGCGGTGTCTGGATCCTTGTGGCCAGCGATACACCAACGTGATTTTGCCTTCCACTTTCCAACCCCTGGCTGAGGTTTCCTTCTCCGGACCATTCTGGAATCCAAGATCCTGTCAGGATATTCTCGACGAATCTTTTCGGCCTCGGCGCCGGTAGCCACGCGAACTGCTTTTGTATCCAGGATGGCCTTCCACTCGATCTTGTCGCTGGCGTCGAAGAGCTCTCGCTCCTCCTTGGACATTTTACGGATGTCCACTTCGTCACTCCTGCTCGCCACCAGAGTCCAGTCGCCGTCCTGTTCAAGAGTCCACAAGCTAGGATCCCCTTCTCGAGAGGACGCTCCTCGCTCAGGTGATCTGGACCGGGAATGTCTTGTAGCGCTCGTGTCTGTCATGCTCTGATTTGAGGAGCGGGCCGGCCTCCCTCGATCCACTGCTTGTAGTAGTCGTTGCATGGGAGTGCCAGGAGCCCGTCCATGAGGAGATGCCTCTCGACTCGTTGTTCTCCGATGCTTGGTCTCCTGCTCCTGCGTGCTCGCGTCATCTGCTGCTGCTTGATGGCCTCCGGGCTCGACTTCTCCGGCGACCACGGTCTCTGGCTCCTGAGCGGGCTCTTGCACAGACGATCTTCTGGAAATGGTGGGAGTGGCTCGTCGGGGTTGAGTCACGATCTCCTCAAGACCAGGAGGAGCCTCTATGGCGTGGTCATTTCGAGGAAGGATGCCTTCTGGAACTGCCGGGACTTCTTGGGGAGCTTGAAGCGGTTGAGGTAGTCCCGAAGGTGGTGCGTCTTCGCCTGGGGCCTCCAGAGGATGATGTTCTCCACTGGCCTCGACGTCCACTGGGGCGTATTGCTGGTCTTCAGCGGGTGGTCCTTCTCGAACAACGTCCACCGCCCCCGCGTTGTTGCCGGAGATTACCTTCCTCAGCAGCTCGGCCATTTGTGGCTCGGTGGCCAATTGTCGTCCCAAAACTTCTGAAGGAAAGGCTGGACGTAGCTGTTCTGGTCCACACCGCCACAAACGACTCCGCATGGCCACGTACACCACCGATCGGCTTTGCAAGACCACGAGTCCTGGTCCAACCCACCGAGAAGTTGGGTGTAGGTTATCACCAGTTTTTCCTCGGCGAAAACAGTACACCCATTGCCCGGGAGACCAAGTCCTCAACGGAGTAGTCGAAGTAGCCACTGCTCTTTTGATTGCTTCTCGGCTGGTCTCGGCCATAGCAAGTTGCCTTGCTCTCTCACGTATGGCTGCGCTTTTGCGAAACTCTGCACCAACTTCGTCGAGTCCGGCCGGATCGTGGAAGCCGTCGCTGATCACCTGCTGCCCCAGATTGTCTTGGCTCAACAAGTCTCCTGGTATCCGGGGCATTTCCCCGAATACTAGTTGCACAGGTGTGTAGCCACCGGCATTGTACCACCTGTTTTTCGCTGAGACGACGGCAGATATGAGTTCATCTACGTCGTCGAGGTTCTCGGCGATCCCGCGACCTGAGTCGAGTTCTTGGGTCAATCGCTGTTTGAGCCACCCTCCGTGCCTTTCGGCACGGCTGTTTTGCCACGGCGATTCCGGAGCTGTGATATGATGCAGCGTTCCCATTTGTTCAATCCCACGCTCGAAGCGCTGCTGGAACTCTTTGCCTCCATCGGTGATAATGAGGCTGGGAGGACCCATAAACCTGATCCAAGTAGTGCAGAAGGCCTTCCAGGTCGCCGCGGCGCTGGGAGTACGTCCGCCCGAGCCCACGATCCTTTGCGCCATCTGGAAGGTCGTGCCATGGTCGACTACGTTGAGGATCGGAACACTTTCTCCTCGGAAGGGTATGTAGAACACGTCGATGCTCAGCACCCGATTGAAACCGTGTACTCGGGAGCATTGTGCTCTTCGATGATGATCTGGTCCTCGCTTGGCGGCGCAGGTTTCGCAGGTGTATTCGTCCCGGATGTATCGCAGTACCTGCGGAAGTGCACCAGCTGCTCTCATGGTCTTCAAAAACCTGTCCTTCGGCGGGTGTCCGGTGTTGATGTGAACCTTGTTCACCATTCTCTTCTGGCTCTCGGTCAACTTCGCGGGCTCCTTGACCTCTTCCTCTGGTTCCCTGCCGGTCTCTCCGTCGTCATCTGACTGCTCCTCCGGCTCCTGCGCGATGACGTCCGCTGAGGCGCTCGCCGGATATGAGGTCAATCGGGCTACCCCCGCGGCCTCCATCATGGCGAGACAGCACAGGGCATCCACTTGTCCTTGAGGACGCAGTGGTGATCCTTGATATCCCTGTAGGCTGAACCCGTAGCCCTCGAGATACTTGGCTTGGTCGATGCTGAGCTGGGTACTGGATCTGGTTTGGAAGGCAGTGATCGACCACCTTTCCCCTTCCCAGTCGTTCACACAGTGGTACTGCTTGGGGTCAAAGACGTTCATGCGCTCGCGATGTTTGAGAACATTTCCGGGTAGCCGCACTCCTGGTCGAACTTCCTTGGGGACTTGGCCTGCTTCATCGGCCAGCCACAGCTCTCCACCTTTGAATGGACCGAGGGCAATGGTATAGTTGTCGCCGAGGTTGTGTAGGTCACGATGAGGACGCACCACGGCGTTCCTGGTAACCGACAGAGAGGATCTGGGTCCATCCGCGCCATGCCTGGTCATGAAGTCATTCAAGTACTGGGTGGTCTGGCGAAGCTTGTAAGTCCCGAGCGTCATGCCTGCGAACTTGCCGTAGGTGTACTGGCCAAGCACTTGGTAGTCGCTAGGATCTCGGATGCTGCCCCTCCGGACTCTCTGTCTTGGCCAGTC